CCAAGCAATATTTAAAGATTGCAGACAGAAAATCTTTGTTTACTGGGTCCCCTCAAATTCAATAGGCCACCGGCAACTAGGTCAGGCTCTTGTTTGCAGACCTGCGTCCGCACAGTTGTTGCTTGAACATGTTAAATAACAACAACATCCAGGAACGAGTCTTTATATCTATGGGCAAAATAAACAGAACACCTACCCATGCTGTTTGACGTACAGTATTTCAGACAGAAAATCTTTGTTTACTGGGTCCCCTCAAATTCAATAGGCCACCGGCAACTAGGTCAGGCTCTTGTTTGCAGACCTGCGTCCGCACAGTTGTTGCTTGAACATGTTAAATAACAACAACATCCAGGAACGAGTCTTTATATCTATGGGCAAAATAAACAGAACACCTACCCATGCTGTTTGACGTACAGTATTTCTTTTAAAAAAATATTCATTTTCTACACAAGCTGTTTGGTTATGTACACTCTATTAATAAAATCAATATCGTCACAATGTTTTGCATTTACTCTTGTATAGATTTATTTCCCATCTGCTCTTCTACAGAAATGAGTTTATTTTATGTCTCTGTGGTGATGCCAGGCCAGGTTTGTTTTATGTCTAGTTTCGAAGCTCAAAAGATATAACCAAGTACAGCAGCAAAAGTGAATCACATTTGTTTTAGATAATTTCTACTCTTGTAAAGAAAAAAATATAAACCTCATCTCTGCAGTTTCTATAAAATGCTGTGTTTCCAGCAGGCACAAATAAAGCTTGACTCCACGGAAGGTTGTTTCTAATTAAACGGCAGTGTCATATTTTGCACAAGGAGATCAAAATGTCCAGCGTAGACCTTGATGCTGGCTGGTGGTCTGAACCTGACCAATATGGGGCCTCTGCGGTGCCCGATGACCAGGCGCCCTTGCCAATCAATCAAGAAAGGACACCAGCTTTTCCCCTTCCCTTCCTTAGGCTCCACAAGGCCACAGCATCTGTTTCCTGCCATTGCCTTTTCCCTTCAACCTTGACAGAAGGTCATGCGTTTCAACCAGCCTCTGGAGCTTGGCTAAGCCAGCGGGCCTTATTCCTCTGACTTAATGCCTCAAAGAGAATCTGAGCCGGGCAAGCGAGGAACCATCCCTTACCGTCCACCCGCCTCCGTCTGTCGTCATGTCACAGTAGACCTGGAAGCCTTCCGGGTAGTGAGTCGGGAAGACGGAAAAGACCCCGTCCTCTTGTTGTCCACTTGCGTAGATGTCAAAGCAGTCCCGAGGTCGGGAGCCTGCAGGAGAGCAGGGGATGACAGAAGAGGGAAGAGAAGAGAAGCGAGACAGAAAGCAGAGTTGGGCTAATTAATTGCTAAATTACAAGCTCGCAGTTTGAGCTTTTGAGTGCAGGCTCTCTCGCCTGGACTAATTGGCTGCTTTCATTAAAGCGGCCTTTATTCCACTTCTTTCTAGGCTATGGGCAAAGGCAGTACCAGCACAAATCTTTTCCCCTACCGACCCAATTGTGGGTGCCCCATCTGAGAGGAGGGCCTGTGTTTCAGACAGGGGAATATTTCCCAACTGGCATTGCTGAACCACACAAGAATGAAGGAATCCTTTATTGCTTTATTGGTGCACGCAAGAGCATAGGCTAAACCAGTCTCAAAAACAGTATTGGACATTTAACAGAAGTAGATATAAAGAATCAGAAAAGCATAAAATAAGCATTCTCAAATAAGGATCAAGTTGTGAAATGAACTTGGAGAAAAACAGAACTTATTTCTGTCTCTTGAAGGAGCATTTATGTAGACTTGGGGGCCAAGTCCTATGTTACAGTAAAATCAAATAATTTCTATTTTATTTCTTTTAAAAGACCCTTCAAAGTCAAATTTCAAGAAGGTTTGTGGAAAACCCAGTAATGGGACAACCTTCCCTAAAATGAAGAGGTACAGATCTGCCATTGAATTAAGAATATGATCCCAGGATGGCTTCTTCCATCTTTCCTTTATTAAGTGGGGTTCTGGCTTAATAACGCAAGATAAGAGCTCCCCCCCCCCGAGCTTAAAGGGCAAGATGCAGGTGAGGGTGGGTGAACTTTAAAAAGGCAAATTCGTGTTTCTATAACCAATATTGTGTTGCATAGCTTACAGTATCGAGAACAATGTCACTGCCAGGGGCAGATCACTACTGCTTTAAGAGTCTCTTTCTTGATTCCGTGGTGTACACAACTCACGTGCAATGAGACCGAATCATACACATCCTGAATGTGAAAAAGGAACTCTTTAGTTGGGGTGTGTGTGTGTGTAGTGTGATGCTCAAGGTGACCTTGTTCCTGTGTCTCAAGCAACAGGATACTGGCCTGTGCACACCAGTGTTCTTGTGTGAGATTAAAAAAAAATCCGAGTCTGGAAGAAAATGAGGACATTGTTCTGATTTGGCTGAAATCAGCCCTGTCTGTGTCCTTAGATAACCCCCCTTTCTTTTTACTATTATTACCCCAAGAACAAGTGTGGGGAGGGGGAAGACTCCAGGTCCTGGGTGAAATCTGGCTCTCCCAATCTGGCCTTCTGGTTTCCTCCTGATGGCCACGCCTAGCGTCTGTGTCCTTAGATAACCCCCCTTTCTTTTTACTATTATTACCCCAAGAACAAGTGTGGGGAGGGGGAAGACTCCAGGCCCTGGGTGAAATCTGGCTCTCCCGATCTGGCCTGATGGCCACGCCCAGCATGGTGTGGTGACTCCAATTTCATAGGGGCAGGGAATCCATCCCATGTTTTAGTCAAAACATTATGGGAGCTATCCAGGGTACTGAACCCTGTCCCCCAAAACAGGTTCAGTGCCCTGGATGGTGTCTTTTAAGCTTGGACTAAGACCCAAAGCCGATTCACAGCCCACTCCCCCCACACTGGAGTCGCCCGCCTCCAACTGGTCGTGGCCCTGCAGGTTTTGTGGTTTCCCAGCATTTGTACTGGCGTTTCGCTCATTCAGAAAGGTTTTCTGCACCCGCCCTTGGAACGCAGCCGTCAGGACGCGAGGCGTTCCTCTTCCCAAATGCAGGATCCCAGATATTCTTGGACTGGAGCTTCAGAAGCCCCACTTAGGGGCAGTTCCAGCTCGGGCTTTGGGAAGTTGCACCCCGAGCACTTTCAGGAATGCCCCCATTCAGAAGCAGATGGAGCAGAAGATGAGAAATAAGGTCTCATACCGTTGGAGCAGCCTTTTGGCCGGGCCCCCCGAGCAGGAGCCTTTTGCAGGTCGGCCTTAAGTCGAGGTCGGATCCCGCTCCGCTCCTTCTGCAGAGTGTCCAGGATGTCGCTGACCGAGCTCACCAGCCTTGCCATGTTCGCCTGACTTTCCGACAGCAGCTGGGGAGGGGGGGAGAGAGAGAAAGAAGAAAAATCCCAATTTACCACAGCCTTTTCCCCTTCCTTCCACCCCCACCCCCTGCTCCATAAATAGGGAACAGATTGCCTTTATTGAATTTTTCTAAGAGAGTTACATTTAGAAATTAAAGCAGAAAATGGTTTTTCATTCATTATAGCAGAAAATACATCAAGCAGAACTACGTCGCATATTGCTTTTATGCCATGAATAACATACAAATTTAATAACAAATGATTATAATACAGCCTATTGGTTTTGTGGTGGAGCCAGAGATGCTGAGTTTGTTCCGAAGGTTGCAGACTTTGTTCTGGCCGTTGCATAAGACGGACTGAAGTCACTCCCATCCACCAATTAATTTTTGGTTAAGTTCCAGATTCTATAATTCAAATACGGTTTGTTGGTATTAATGAGGTTTATTTAATGTTGGGATTTCAGAAATTAACGAGCTGGTGCAGTAGGATCCCTGTATCCATGATCTATTACGTTATGATTGAAACCGTGGGTAATGATAAAGTCTATATACAACTTACAAGGAAGCAGGACAGGGGCCTCAAGGATCAACCGTTGATAACTGAAACTGCAGATACTGAACCCGTGGATAGAGGAGGTCATATTGTATTTTAAATGTTGTTGTTGCTGCGATAGCTTGTGGCTGGTATAAAATGAAACCAGAGCAACTGGGAGTGCCCCGTAGATCCCTTGACATCAATTCCTCAGAGAAGATAAAATAATAAATAATAAATACACTCAGAAGAAACTGGGTACGTACCTCTTAGAGTAAAGCATCAGGGTGCATCTATCAGTTTCCAACCATCCCATTTGTTCCCCCCCAGCTGCATATTTTCCCCCCAGCTGCACATTTTGTTTCCAAATGCATGTTAGATGTTAAAGTGTTAACACAGAGATTGGGAATCTCAAATTCTGGAAACTGGCTCCAGAGCTTTAGAAAGTCGCACACCTTTCTCTGTCATTTGTTGAGTTCCCTGGGCTTTTGTGGGGTTTCTTCTCCATTCTAAAAGATCGAGACTCCCCTCCTAAACCAGTCAGAGCTTTCAGCTGAAATGCATTTGGTAGTTTGGTCCCAAAATCACATCCACCGCTGATAGGCAGCTTCTAAGAGCTTCTTTGAAATTTGAATGCAGCCCCTCCGGCTGAGAAAACGTTCCTCACTCTTGACTTGACACAACTTTCCTAGCTGGTATTTGCTTTTTGCATGTTGTTTTCTATCCGATCTAATTATTCACCAGCTCTTCTTCAGCCTAACCATGTGCCCATCTAAGGATCTTCACATGTTAAAGTGATGTAGATTGTACAGCACTGCAGCTTACCCCACGATAAACCGGCTAGGCTTTAAAGGGGCCACACAGGACTCAGTAAGCAGAATCCTGTTGCCTTTTGCAAATCGCATTAAAGACGATCATGCAAACGGTTCTATTTTCCCGACAGGCCATCTGTCACCCTTTCCTGCATCCGTCACTAGAACAAAATATGATGGGCCCCGTTGCAGGATGGACCGTCAGCAAAAGGGAGGAGGGGGAGTTTCCCATGACTCCAGCATTTCCTCCAATAAGATGTCACCTTTTGTACTTTTTATTTTCATTTTTAATTGGTCTAGAATAGTTTGACTTGCCATTATTCTTGGGCAGCTTCCCATGGTGTGAAATCACTGTTCACTTTTTGTGGGGCCTTAATATTTGTGTGTTACTTTAGACATACCTACGCAGCAAAGGGGGGAAATGCATCAGCCGTCCTTCACCTCGCAGAATTATCCTCTAGAGAGATCTGGTTGGGGCAGGGGCGGGTTGGGGAGTCAGGAGGAATCCACAAGACAACTGTAGGGCCACCAACGATAGAGTGGAACGAGATCTCTTGAACTGGCAGAAACCCAACACGGGGCAGCGAATCCCCAGAGACAGGTTTTGAAGCACTTGCTGTGTAGGCAGATATTAATAATCAATAATTAACACCCAACCACAATAGAGGTTGACCCCACTGCCTGTTCTTTGCCCCTGTGGCTTGCATGAGACCAAGGTAGCTTTGAGATGTCTCTTCCTCTGTCCTGGGGAGGGGTCTTTGTTCAATGTTGTTGAACAGAGCGTTTCTAGCTCCTTCTCTTGACCCCAATGCTACCATTCTAGGAGGTGAAAAGGGGCCAGAACTGAATAAGGTTCCTTGACAGGTGAAAATAATGTTGTCCCTCCTGTGGCCAAGGTTGCAGGACTCACCTTTGGCCTTCAGAGAAAATGGCCATTGTAGGTTTTAAAAGCATCTCTCCCAACCTCCCAAGGCTTGGGAGACAAAAGAGAGCAGAAAAGAGAAGTCTTAGCTTTGCCAACAGAGAAATTGGTCAACAACCTAAGCACAGATCAGTCGCGGGGATGGTGCCCTGAAAATATATTGTGTGGTTAGAAATGTAGAGGAACGTATTTCTTTTTCTGCTGGGAAGGAAATCAGGGTGTTTTTTTTCCCCCTCTCTCTCTCTCTTTCCTGTATTTCTGAGAGTTCATTTTGGAGTCCTGGATTGCCAACTTAGCTTTAAAAGAAAGGGTTCCTTCTTGCAGAGTCAGTGGGTAAAGAGATAAAGGAGATAACCAGTCATTAAGAGAGCCTAATCAGATAAAGTTGCTGCCCCGTTAAGTCTGATGTCTACTGACCTATTCAGCAGACGGTGCTAGGTGGGTGGGTGAATGCACTTCGGCTGATTAGCTCAATAAAATCCAGAGCCTGGAAGTAACTGGTTCAAATAAAAACAACAGCTGTGGCATGTTACTCAAGAGAGGAAGTGATTATGGGATAGCAACATCCCCCCTTTTTAAAAAAAAATAATATTCTGAGGTTATGTTACTTTTTCTGTGCAGGAATGTAATGAAGAATATAAGGAGTTGCTAATCTCCTCCAACTGCAACGTTAATGGTAAGGAGTTCTCTCTCTCTCTGTCTCTCTCTGGGTTTGGAATAAGCTGCAAAATGCATTAGTTCCTTAAAATATAGCTTTCAAAACTCTTGAGTTCAACAAAGCCGGCTGATGCCAAGTCAAAAGGACAGGTCCGAGCACAAAACCGAAGTGTGCAGCATCCCAAAAGATTCACTCTGGACTTGGCCGAGACCCCAACACAAATCAAATTTATTGTAAGCACAAGCAAATTATACGGGACCCCAAGAACTGCAGATAGGAAAGAATCGGTGGGACCAGTAAGGAAGACCGAGAAGATTTTGGCACGTTCAAGCCATCCCAAAGCTTTAGAGGGGTTAATAAAAATATATAAAAAGAGTGACTCCCACCCCGTTAGAAGAAAAAAATCCCACAAAGACTGAGACCACCATGAATGGCATTGCAGGAGAGGTCTTTATGCCACTGAAGTTGCAAGCGGATTAATCGATTTGACCAATTTTAACCCGTATAAACGAATTTTCTTCTGAGAGGCAAACAATCCAGTGAATGTCCCAGCATTTCTCTGAGGTGAATTTTGCACCTCAAGAATGAAAGCAAGTGTTTGATATTTACTGTAGTTCCACTTTGCTGTGGGTTAAGCAGAAGGGCCCCAACGTTAATGGTTGGAGACTCTTCACGGACAGCCCCATGGGCTACAGTAGTCCAGTCATGATGTTCCAGGCTGGGTTTTTGTGGGTCCCTCCCTCACCCTGTAAGGCCTCACCTGAATATATAATATCAAAATGCTTAGCTATTGTGCATCTAAGATTATGCAAGTTTGCCCTAAACCATGGGGAAGTAATGGCTGTTCTTTTTTTCACCTTCCCCCCCCCCATTTAACCTTGCCCCAGGCACCAGTGCCGAATTTCCAGTGCCTCCTTTGATGGCTTCAATCAAAATGCAGAGAAGTTCACTGAGGTGAGCCCATATCCCGAGGGCTTGCCAGCCTTTAGCTACCTGGCTGGCAAATTAGCTCTCAAAACTTACATGCAAAACAGGTACCGAGTTTCTTTTCTCCCTTATAGCTGCCTAACCAATCCTGATTTTTCTGCAGACCCCTTTTTATGGAAGATACAAGCTTAAAAAAAATTGCTGTGTTTTATTTATGTATTTGTGGTGAATCCGGTGATGCCAACTCTGGTCCTTAGCCAATCTCCTCTGCTCTGCACGCACAGGAGGCTCGCGCCTGCACCTCAACCTACGACAGGTGCCCATTTCCTTTCTTTCACCAAGCCATGAACAGTGACCTCCGAAACAGTGAGAAAATGGGAAAGCCGGAATGTGGGTCAGAAAAGAAAGACGTGGACAGGGTCTCAGCATCATAAACGATGGCACCCCTTTGGTGTGTATAGCTGTCCTTCTTCCCTTTGCTAAGCTTGTCATTATAGAAAGTGAAGGTATATAGACCAGGGTGGGAGAGAGTGAATGGCTGCTCAGCCATGGTGTTCGCTATTCTTGTCGCTCCCCCCTTTAGCCTAACCCTACCTCGCAAGCTGGATAAAGTTGGTGAATGGGGAGTCAGAGGAGGGCTACAATATGTTCTCATGAGGTTCCACAGTAAGAGACCTCTCGGCCAGTATACCTAATTTAGCATTAATAGTCTATAATCTAACAGAAGCTGGAACAGGAGCAAGTCTGCGTAGACTGAATTTAGATTAGTTATTCTCCCTAATTGTGGCAGATTCCGTCCTGCACCCAATTATTAAATCACATGCCTTCAGGTTGATTCCAAATTAAGGTGACTTTCTCAGAGTTTTGTAGGTGTGAAGTATTCGGAAGTGGTTTATCAGTCCCCTCCTTTGGGGGTGGTATCAGGGGGTCACCTTATTATTAAATCAGCAAGGACATCTAACTCGTTGATCTTAAAATATCACAAAATTAGTTCATTAATTTGCCTGAAAAAGTGGGTCTTCAGGTGTTGGTGGAAGGATAAAAAGGAGGTGAGCCAGGCTGATCTCTCGAGGGAGAGCATCCCATAACCTGGGAGCGGCCACAGAGAAGGCCCTCTCCTGTGTCCCCATCAGCCCGCAATGGGACCAAGAGGAGGGCCTCCTCTGACAATCTTAAGTGGTGAGAAGGCTCATATGGGGAGATACGGACCTTCAGGTAGCCTGGACACAAAGGTTTTTAGCAGAGAAATTTGAATTAAAAAAAAACTATGGGGAAAACCCCAATAGAGAGATTTGTCCGTCCAGCCAAACATCTTTAACGTTTACGAGGCAGTCAGGTACAAGAGAGGTTCCCAACCTTGGCTAAACCAGGTGTTCTTGGACTACAACTCCCAGAAACCCTGGGCAGCGCAGCTAGTGGCGAGGGCTTATGGGAGCTTTAGTCCAAGAAAATTCATGGACTCAACACTGGGAATCACTGAGGTGCAACGTGGGCCATCCCATACTGGGTGTGAGCTGTGCCGAATGAAAATAACTACTAGATATGAAAGGTGATGAAACTTCCATTTCAATCGATTTGATTTTACTGAAGAATCTACTAAAACCATATCTGGCAAATCAACCTGGTGGATTTCCTAACCAGTTCATGGAGCTAGCTTTTGCTTTATTTTGCACCGTCTCTTCCAATACAGATGTATAGGTATGAAAATATGCATACATTTTTTCATTAGAGAGCGTCAGGGTGGGTATACGGAACTGTTGAAGGATAGCTGTGTTGTGGTCCAGGTATTTGTCTGGGTAATAAGAGATCGGGAAATTTGCATTACGTGGCAAACTGAAGGACTTTCCCTTCTAACCTCTAATTTAGGTGTGGGCGTTTGAAGCCCAGCAGATCAAAGTTTTCTGCTGTTCTGTGTATATCTTGCAACAATGGACACACACACGTAGATATATATATACGCACACACACACACACAGATATATATATATACACGGATGAAGATATATGATGGCATGCTAACTGATGGAATGTATCTCCTACGCACTTTATTTTCTCTGGCAAAAAACAACAACACATGGAGCTAGTGTAAAATATATAATATATAACTATTTGAGGTTTTTACAACCTATAAACCAGATACTCTGGGCAGATGATGGTGCCGAATGTATTAAAGGCAAGACAGTAAATATTTGCAACTCTGGCCATAAAAGATCACTTGGTGCACAATGCCATTCCGGCCCATGTTTTCTGTGATAGGTTTCAGCTTTGCTTTTAGTGGGGGTGGAGGCGGGGGGAGGCTTACAGAAAATGGAAGAGGGGAAAAGGCGAAAATAAGTTGATGAGTACCTCTCTCCCAGCTGTGTTCCAGGCTCTTAGGATTCTCAGGTCAGCCACTGTTTTGTTTTTTTGTTTTTTGTTGTTGTTTTATATGGGATCAGAAATTTGAATTGAACAACAGGCCAGGTAAACAGGGACATTTTGTTCTGAGATGGTCCCAAAACTGGACTGGCAAGCGTACTGGGGCAGAGTTTTAAAACATTGTGTTTTTTGACGACACCCCCCCAGCTCAGCTGGTAGGGGATGCTGGGCGGTGTAGTCGAAAAAACCCTGATATTCCCAACCTCTGTGCTGGGGTTGGTGGAACCAATTTCTGTCATTGATTGGTCAAGTCATTGGCTGATTTACTGAAGGAATTTCTCTCTTGACTGTCATTAAGGGTGGACTTCCCTTCCTTAAGAAAATAGATTCAGACCTGTAGACTAACAAGGACTACTGCCTAAAGGTCCAGAGAGGACTCTGGCCTCAGTCCTGCCAAGGTCATGGCAGCAGTAGGCGAAAGAGGGAGACACAGTAATTCTCCTTTCTTTCCTTCTGGGCTGTTGATCCAAAATGAGGGTGCTTCTCAAAATGGGGACGCGTTTGGGAGCTCCTGCAACACACCCCTGCCGAGACTGCAGTTCATCTTAACGAAGACCTTGCACGCCTCTGTATTTTAGATTTCGTTTTGTTCCCCTGTGGGTCAACCACCGGGCTCCTTGGGCTTCTCCGACGGCTGACCTAGACCCTCTGTGTGGGGAGGGCGGGGAGGGCATGGAGGCCGACCTCCGGACTCTTACCTGGATGAGGTGCCCTTGCTCATTCTGCAAGGCGCTCAGCTCCTGCCCCAGGGCCACGTGCCCTTTCTTCAAGCCGTCGCAGTCTGTTCTCAGCTGAGAGGCGTGAGCCAGCAACCGGGACACCTCGTCGGACAGGCCGACCAGCAGAGCCCTCTCCTGACCCTTGGAGGCTTTGGTCTCGGCGTCGTGGTCGGTCACCGCCCTCAGGAGGGTGGTCTGGAGGCCCTCCAGCCGGGTGAAGCCGCTGGCCTGATTCGGACAGTTGCGGTCGATGAAGATGTTGATGCGGGAACCGTCCGCTTTCTCGATGGTGACCAAGGCGTTGGATTCATCGGGGTTGGTGCTGATGAGAGGCGGGGACTCTGTCACGGGCGTGTGGTAGTGGTTCATGAAGAGGATGGCGCCGGTCACCGTCACGGCTAAGAGGATGGCCACCGACAGGAGGACGGTGCAGAGGATATAACCGCAGCTCATTCTCTAGAAGAGGACGAAGAAAGGGGGGGTGGTTAGGGCCTTTTCGGAGGGCTTCCAGAAACAGCCTCCGCTTTCTCACCCCCGTGCTTTCGTGGCAACAGTAAAATTGCAAAGAATAACGCACAGAAAGTGGCTATTAAAAGGAACGAGTTACACTCATAAGGCATGTAACCCCCCCAAAGGAGTTCATCACTGTTCCAGGTTTTTAAGAAGTCATTTCACTTTCCTGTTTCTCCAAAGTAACTATTCAACCATTCATTACTTTTTTAAAAAAGGCTGCAAGCAGAAGGTCTGTGGTTCAAAACATGTTCTTCTTACGACACACAGTTATCACTTTCACTCCCACAACTGAGCACTGGATAGCTCAGGGGTTGAGGTCTCTGTCTGCAGAGCCAGCGGTTGGGGGTTCAATTCCCCCCCCACGGGGCCTCCTTGACAGGGGCTGGACTGGATGACCCCACAGGGTCCCTTCCCACCTCTAGCAGTTCTAAGATTACTATAAATTATAAAACAAAGCAGCAGCATGAGCCAGCCCTTGAATCGCGTGATATTCCTCCTTCCTCACCATTTTGTGAGACCACACTCCTATAACAATGAAAATAACCACAAAACAAGTCGTTTTATCTTCTCAAATGACATTTGCAATACCCTGTGGTCAGTCTCATTATTTTACTTTAAAAATAACAACACCAAGTTAATTATAAATAATTAGTTAATTGTAACTGGTTGCTTTCAAGCCCTGAATTGGTTGGAGTAACAGTTTTATAGAATAGCTATCTCAGATAATATCCTTATTTATAAACGGCAGAGGGTGTTTTTTTTTTTTTCTTAAGCACTGTATTATTTTGGACATTTTTGCTCATAAAAAGTGAGTGTCAGGCACTCTCTCAAGAAGCCCGCTGCTTTAGAAACGAATACAATCACTTTTCAGGCAAGGCCACACTTTGCTGCATCATTTATTTTTAAACCAAAATGCCTCTTTGTCTCAGAACGTGGGTTATGACTCATATGCAAATAGAATCCCCGTAAAATAAATTCTAGGTGGTGATGTTTTGGATCAGGTGATGAAAGGTACACATTATCGCACAGGAATCCACTCTGCAAACTCAAGGAACATCTAAAAAGAAATGCGACAATCTTTAATTCCAGTAATCAAGTAGTCCTGCATCAATTTCTCTTACATGTTGTTGTTGTTGCTGATGTTTTAAAGGTTTTCCTCCTGGTGTTTGGCCTTCCTAAACCAGGGAAGATTTGGGGCTGGGGGTTGGGGATATATTTAGGAGGAAAAAAGTCTTAATATCAGAACATGCCTTATAGGGTTTTGTATTTTATTAGGTTCCCTCCCCCTCCACCATTGCTGTTTTTGGGTAATTTTCTAATTCCCGTTCTTACCTTTTATGATTTCCAAACTGTTCTTTATTTTCAAGCTGTGGTTCTAATCTCAAGCTTTAGTACCCTCTGAATTGCAAAACTGAAAATAGTTAAACAAATGCCACTACATGTCCAGTACGGGGCAATATTAACACGGCCATTCTGTCTTTATCTTTTTGTTTCTCAAAATGCGCTGGGTCACTACGAGCTTAGGGACCTAAATGGGGAGGGGGTGTCCCTGTGGGAAAAAGACGTATATTCAAACTATAATGTTGCCAGGCAGCAAAGTCAGAAGGTGCAACTGATAAATTGCCATATGGGCCCCAGCTTTATGAAATAATAACGAAGGAGGGTCACGCAATAGGGGGTGTTACTCTGCTGCTAATTTTTGTTTTAAATTTAATGCCACAATAACCGGCTGCTTCTTTCCGAGGGCCGAATGGCAAGACCCCCGTTTCCAGCCGGGAGTTCCCTCCGCAGCGACTCGTGGGTCACCCAAACGCGTTGCTACCGCAGAGTTACCAAGCTTCATGACTCTTTAATGAGCCTGGCAGTCAGGAGCATTAAGCGTCTCGTTGCGGTATGAATCATGAATCTCTTCTGTTAATAAAATCCAGGAGAAAAATCGCAAGGAGAGAGAGAGAGAGAGACCAAGGGTGAAAGCAGAGGTAAGATATTTTTTTATTTTTTCAGAGCAGCGATTTTTATGTGGGAGCTTCCAAGTGTATCTGTTCCTCTTTCTGGAGTCATACTCCAGAGGAGGGGGTGGGGGAGCGAACTCCTTTTGAAACTTTGCAAGAAACGGACGCTGGCTACGAATAGCCACCGAGGGGTGGTATTTTGTGATGGTGCGTCACAAGTAATATACCCTGCTTCTTCCCCACTCGCCGCCAAGGCACACATTTTCCCTAGAGTAGTTGTGCCTTTTTAAACAAGTCCTTTTTTTAATAACAGAAAAAAGGCTCAGGGGTAAAGTGACCTTGTGCACTGCCAGAAAAATAACCGAGGAGGCAAAATTAAAAGAAAATGCACCAGACGACAAAGGCAAACAACTGCACAATGATTCCATAGGTGTGCTGGGCACAGGAGAAAAGTATGCACTTTGTAAGCAACCCCCCCCAGTCATTTTCCTGGCCTACCACACAAAAAGCTGCACCACCCATATTTAGAAACAAATAATAATGTTAGAACTGCAGAACTGGAAGGGACCCTATGGGCCCTCGAGTCCAGCCCCTGCCAAGGAAGCACCGTGGGGGAATCGAACTCCAGTAGTTCTGACAAATATTGTGCTGGCAAATTTCAACAAACAGCTGTCAGGTACTCTTTCCCCTTGAAAACCAAGGTTTTGCTCAATTGAAAGGCACCGCACCGGTTTTGCAGCTGGAATTTGGTGGCCTTTGGGAAGCCCATGAAGAGCAAGCCAACGGCTGGCGGAGGTTTGCTGCCGAAACACAAACAGCTGTCAGGTACTCTTTCCCCTTGAAAACCAAGATTTTGCTCAATTGAAAGGCACCACACCGGTTTTGCAGCTGAAATTTGGTGACCTTTGGGAAGCCCATGAAGAGTAAGCCAACAGCTGGCAGAAGTTTGCTGCCATGGGGTTGCTTTCCAAGCGAAGCCCTCCTGACTGCTCCCCAATTTCAGTGCCATGATCACTGTGGGTCAGGTACTCTTTCCCCTTGAAAACCAAGATTTTGCTCAATTGAAAGGCACCACACCGGTTTTGCAGCTGAAATTTGGTGACCTTTGGGAAGCCCATGAAGAGTAAGCCAACAGCTGGCAGAAGTTTGCTGCCATGGGGTTGCTTTCCAAGCGAAGCCCTCCTGACTGCTCCCCAATTTCAGTGCCATGATCACTGTGGGTTCTGGCAAGGGCATAAACAGCCTCTGGACTTAGATTTAGAGATAATTAACTCGATTTAAAGTTTAGAGTAAGTTGGGGAATTGAGGTTTTGAGTTTCGTTTCGGAAGGCATTGAGGCTGAGTGTGAAGAGGAGGGTGTGGCCTTTATGAAAGCGCCAGGGTGCCACTTGGCAGTGTCTATGGTGGTGGTGGTGGTGGAGGATGGTTGGGCAGATCTCAGGGCATTCCTCTCTTGTTCTTGGTTGCTTTGTCTCTGTGTGCCAGGCAACCTGTATGTGCCCGGGTGCTAGCTGCCGAGAGTCTTTGTTGTGCTTGGTGCATAGCGCTGAACCGATATGTTTGATAGAAACTAGGACGTGCATAAATCTGATGATAAATTTTCTTCCTTATAGATTGTTGCCTGGTTTTGGAGTAGATTAATTATCTGTTGCTTTGCCTCTGCTTTTTTTAGCAGTTTTTAAAGAATCTTTAGAGCTTTTGCAATGCTAGGATATAAAAAAAGAACACCTCCCCCCCCAAAAAAAAGAGCTTTTCTGTGTAAAATGAAAGGACCAGAAAAAAAATGCAAAACCTAAAAAAAGGGCATCTCTTTATAAGAGCCCAGAATGAAAGAAATACAAAAATTCAGACATGAAACTTGAGCAATAGAGGTAAAAGTGACAGCTTAAGCAGTGCTTGATTTATTTGTTTACGAACACCCTTTGCTGAACTTACGAGAGCCAAAGAGCTCGTACTTCCAATAAGGGATACTCTGTGAGTTCTTTTTATTTCAGATCTTGTGTCCACTTTCAGTTTCCTAAAAGATGCATCTACAGAGCACAAAAATTGCTGAAGTGCTGAACTTCAGGCAAACATTAAGCCGCGGGTCCCGGAGGGGAAGTAAAAAAGAAGCCACAAATCACTTTACAGAATCACTTTAAAGAAACATCCTGACTGTCACGTTATGGCTAATGATTTATTAATTTGTTTGCTGTCTTTCATCCATGGAGCTCAAGGTGGTCTATAGGGCTACCCTCTTCCCCCTTCCATTCTCTTCACAACACCACCGTGAAGGGGCAAGGGGGGGGGGAGAGAGAGATTGTCTGTCTACCTCAAAGTCAGCTAGAAAATGTTCTGCCTGAGAACGAATTTGAACTCGGATCTACTCACTTGAAGGCCAATGCTTTAACCAGTACCCCAATCTTTCTCTCCGATTTTAAAAGAAGAGCTTAACTTTGGTTAATTGGGAAGTCTTGAACATTTATTGATGAAATGTTTTGATTTTCTCAACTACCAATTCTCCAGTCTGGGAATTCTCTCTACCTCGTAGGCACCTTGCAGACAGCTGAAGGTGGCTCACCCGGGAGAGAGGCTGAAACTGGAAGACTTTGAGGCTTAGCTCATCTTAATTCCACCTCATCTTCCTCTTCCTGCCCCACTGCTATTCGGGAGCTTTCTTTCTCCTACGAAACGATGGTTCTCTACACCCAACTCATTGGAAATAATGTGGGATAGCGGTTAGACAACTCCCCTTGAACTTCGGAGATTCAGGTTTGAGTCCCTGGAGAGCCAGAAATTCACCAGGTGGTGCTGATCCAGACGCTTTCAATCTGATCTACGTAATTTGTTAAGTTCTTCACGGCAATAATGTCGGGGTTGCTTACATGGAACTTCTCAAACTTTTATGCTGGGTCTGATTAATACTTGGGGAAAGGGGGAGGGAAATGGGAAGAGGGACTTAAGATGCATCTCCATGTTTCTGCTACCCTTTGCTGCCCTCCCTGCTTC